TTGTGGCTCTGCAAGTGCATTTCAAGTGGGCATTATAGGACTGATTTAGACCTTTCTTCTAGACATAGTTTTGGCGAAGGTTTGAATCGTCTTGCAAGTAGGAAAATCAGGTTAAAATCAGGTCAAAAATCGAGGAAAAATGATTTTGAAGAACCCATGCCACGAGCTTGCCATAGTATAAAAGAATGTCCATGGATCAACACTGCTTTCCGCCGGACGATATAATTGAAGAGTGATGGGTTGAACAATTTGTTTAACAGATAATAGCTAGTTTGACAAGATGCTTCTACTAACCGTTCAACCCGACATTCATCAATTATCATTTGGAGGAGACAAAATTACTCTTCAATCATAAGAAAATAACGATACTGGAAAATATTGCTGCTCCCTGACATTAATTTTTGCCTTACTCGCTTATATGTATCACTTCAATGGCTATGGTGTAGTACATGGTGTAGTATGGTGGATTTAAAACTTTTCCTCTCTCTTATTTCTGCATTCTGGATCGAACGTAGAAATAGGTGATAAACAGAGTGATTTAGATGCAAGTTCCGTCGCGTCGCATAGCAAGGAAAGAAGAGTGAGAGAGAGTGTTACTGTCCATGAATAGCATCAAAAGGAAAGGTTCGGAATTGCGTCACGGGGGGGGGGGGGGGGAAGGGAGGGTAAAAAATTAAAAAAAAAGTGCGTTACGTAAATATTGAACGCTCCTTTTACTCTATAACGTAGACGTTTTTTAAAACTGGCGCTTACTTTGAGAAAAACTCCATCGCGTGTGTTGATTCGTAAAAGTAACGATCAGTGAGCTTAGTCCTCAAAAAGGATATTTAGCCTTTGATCCGCAGTGGGTCATTAAAACATTGTCAACAATTTAACCGGCAGATAAAGGGCGGCCGTTCAATAATTAGTATCAGAGCTCTACAAACTACATGCCTCCATCTGCACTTCCTGCGGTTAGATAATAACCTTGAGGCACCCCTCCCCTTTTTGACACCAAGCCAAGGCCCTTAGCCTTTATCAGTTGTTTTAAAATAAAGCATAAAAAAGTAGAACTTGCCGACCTCTTTGGGCGTGTTCACCACTTAAGACTAGTACCCGGAGTCTCGAGTTTGAGTTCCGGCAGAGACACCGAAGATGATTTCAGGATTCCAAGTTTCACCTCATCAGCAAAGTTTAAAATTCAGACTCGCCATGAAAGGCAGTATAGATTTACTACCAAAAAAACAAAGGCTCCATCTAGATCCATTAATGCTATTCACCTATGCAAAAGTGTCTTTTTTGAATAACTACATTGATCGGATCGTGCATATCATCTACTTTCTAGAAGAGATAGAAAGACAACAGTATTACTTTTTCTACTCTTAAGGATTGTGTTAGAGTTTTAACGAATAAAGCAGAATAGTAACAAAAGTGTAAATAAGTTTTCGGAAAAGACAGAGGGCAGAGGGCGGAGGTGTAGCTAGAAATGTTTCATGGGGAGAGATCTGCGAGCAAAGAATTCGCATAAAAGGAGGCCTAAAAGTAAAATATTTTTTGGGGAGCGCCTCAGTCTTTTTCGTGGCTGACCATGCAAAGTTACTTCCATAAGATTACTGCTCTCCCACGCACTGAAATAATTCTTGATCTTGAGATTACAAAAAAAAAAAAAAAAAAAAAAAAAAAAAAAAAGGAAGGCGAGGTACTTTAAATTTATAATATCAACACTGTGCTCACTCGATCAAGCAAGCATTGTAGATGCTCGAGAGAAGCTGACGTGAGTCTTATGCAAGAATGTAAGATTTTACCATCTGCGGATTGCAGCCCCGCTAATGCCAAGAACCACGTGTGCCCTTTAAGTCACCTGAGTGCAGGTATTTACTTAACCAGGGGTATATTCAATTGCCGGTTCCTGGATTGCCTAACTTGTCGCGACACCTCTCTGGAATTTTTTTTGGAAAGCAAATTCATTGTCAAAGACTAAGGACGGATTTGCTGGCATGAATTGAAATTTCTTACCCACTCATAAATACCCACCCACTCACAACAAATGTCATGCGAACACAAACCCTGTGCCTGTGTGATATTTGAGATCTAAGGGGCCGTATTTAAAATAGGAACATCACGCTGAAAACTTGATTTTAGACACCTCCTTCTCCTCGGAAGGCACATGTAACACAAAACTGTACTCGCAGATTTACATATAAAGCTCAGTTCGAATCCTTCTTTGTAAAGCGTTCTAAAATGAGCTTTGGATAAAAATTGCCACATCACTTAATTTTTCACTATAGATTTTCGGGAAATTGGTGCTATGCGCCCACCCTAGCGTTACGCAACGCAGCCCTGAACGCTTCCTCCTCGGCCTTTACCGCATCCGTAAACGTAGGTTCAGTTTTTGAGTTCAATTCTTTCACGCAACGTGCTCTAAGACGAGTTTCACAGGACATTACCATTATTTAATTGTTTTAAAAATGTCGTCACCTCACTTTCTTGTAGGCAAGACTCTTCATTTTTAAAACTTGGAACATCAATCGACTTTATAATATCGTCTGTAATTTAAGGATACAGTCCTTAACGCAGTTTTTTCCTCTTTTTTTTTTTTTGAAATTCAATGTGTGCTTATATCACTCCAATCGGACTTTCTTTCTCTATAAAATAAGAGTCACCTTTATACCGTTCATTACATTTATTTTAGTTACAATTTTACATACGCTCGAGGACTTTCGGGATTACCCCATCTTCAATAGCACATAATTACAAGATAAATAATGCATTGAGCACACAAACTACATTACCAAATTATAACATGCTAACCCTTAATTACAAGTAAATATAAAAGACAAGTGACGAGTCTCTGTCGGCCTTGGTCTTAGAATTATCCTAATTTGCTTTGTTATGTACTTCGTCACTTGTCTTTTATATTTACTTGTAATTATGGGTTAGCATGTTATAATTTGGTAATGTAGTTTGTGTGCTCAATTCATTATTTATCATTGTAATTATGTGCTTGTTGTAGTGTATAATTTTAGTAGTGCTCTTGAATATGGGGTAATCCCGAAAGGCCTCGAGCGTATGTAAAAATTTAACTAAAATAAATGTAATGCACGGTATAAAGGTGACTCTTACTCTATAGACATTTTAAATACCGCTACCAACATGTTTAAAGACTTTCTTTCTGGCAAATAATCAGAACTATCCTAACGATCAACCCGTCAAGTGAATGTGAATATTACGCTCAGGGCGTACAAACAATACGCTGTGTAATAATTGACCATAAAGCATCGATGAAGCCTTCGTCGAGCCATCACAATCCTATAGGAGCGGTATGACGTGGGCATTTGAATTGAATAGCCAGGCTTGTGCATTGCACAGACGGTCGGTAGCTTCCTGCGGTCAGCCTGCCTCTCGTCATTCACGGCACGTAGTAAAATTCATTGACTCCTCATTCATTCATAACCAGCGCGATGAACCCGCACCCGTACTGTTCTGCCGTGCTAAGGAAAAACGCCGTATGAACATCCGAGAGTTGCCAAATTTCCTCCAGTAAAATGTTCATTTTTTAGAAAAATTATCGATATTTTTCTTTGAAATTTTAAGAATTTTCAGACTAAATGACACAAAAAATTATCTGAGAAAATGGAAGAAAAAGATTTACAAATTCTCATGAAAATTAGTGGTTTGTCGAAGTGAATTTGGCAACGTCTGAAGGCTCATACGGCGTTTTCCCTTAGCACGACAGTGCTGCAATGCAGAAGAACGCCGTATAAGATTTCGGACGTAGCCAAGTTCCTTTGATAATACATGCATTTGCAGGAAAACCTGTGAATATTTGTCTTTCAATTTTTCGAATAAACCAATTCGTAAATTTATCTAAAGTATGTGAAAATTTCACAACGAAATATTCATAAACCGTGTAGAAAAAATAATATTTTATAGGGGGGCGTCTTGAATGAATTTGGCGACGTCTGAATGTTCATACAGTTTTTATCATTTAAGCGGCAGCATAGTCACCTCATGTCCATACCTTGCCCATACCCTACGCCTGAACTGCCTGGGCAGTATGAACCTGTGTGCATTCACGTTTTGTCGCGTTGTGCCGCCATGCCAATTTTTTTTTTCGCGAGAAAACCAATTAACATGAGAACATTTGAATATTCTTCTTCCAATTTTTCAGAGAATTTCACTCACGAGCCAATCCACAATATCTTGAAATTACGAAGAGAAACATTCGTGATATTTCTGTAAAATTAATCTGTTTTAAGGGGAAATTTGACAATGTTCTAATGTTCATACAATATTTATCCTTAGTAAGGCAGTGCATTGCTCCCTTCCTCATGACGAATTTCGACGGCTCTGTCTAAAGTGCTTCGATTTTCCTTGGGCAACTTTCAATTATTGTGGTGAAACTAAAGTGAGGACTAAGAAAGGTCTTATTGCGTAAGCTAAGGCTCATCATTGGACCCTCCAATCTTGCAGTATAGAATTTATCTATTATACGGCTATTTTTGTTAATTTTGAAAGATTTTAAAGGATTTTTCGAAACTTCTTTTAAGTTTTTCCCCACTCCCGTCCCTTAAATCCAATTATATTCAGGTTTGAAGTTTGCACTTCGAAAAACGTAAATATACCGCACGGCTACACAGCTGTACGTAACAGGGGCACAATAATCTCATAGTTTCTACAACATCCTGTCAGAGTTCACATGCCGCAAAGCCTTTGCGAGCTTATTGCCGTCAAAAAAATGTACTTAACAGTTTTTCCCGGGGGGGGGGGGGGAGAAAAAGAAAAGAAATAAAGCGTATAAAGGACTCGCTGCACTTAAAGTAACGCGCTTGAGAATATTCTTCAAAGAAATGTGCGCGTTTAAGGGTTTTTTCACAAAAATTTTCGCGTTCGCTGATTTCTTTCATGAAAAACAGTGCGCAAAAAAGTTTAAATTTTTTCCCTCAAAACCACTGAATACGCTTGTCTATCCCTCACAAAAGGCAGCATATTTTTTTAGAACAGGAAAAAATCGAAAAAGGTGAATTTTTACAAGTTTCTATATTTTATTTAAAAAAAAAAGAAAAACAAATTTCTGCTCCCAAAAAACTTTCGCATTTTCGATTTCTGTCGGAAAATGGGCGATGTCGTTACGGGATCTCTATCCAGCAGTTAAGTCAATTTTGAGCTTTCGTGGAGCAAGGTCCCTGTTCCTTTGGGCACATGACCCATGAGGCAATGGAGTTTTCCTTCCAAAATTCCTTCTTTATGTTCGGCTCCTTTACGGTGAGGGAGTTTCCTCTGTCCATTCAAATTTGCGGCCAGTTACGGTCCATATAACGTTGAAGTATTCCTTCTGCTGGTAATAATAACACCTGTGGCTCCTGGGATCTCTCAAGACCGTTCTTAGACGGCACCAGGGATGGAGAGGCGAATCGAAGCCCGCGAGGGAAGATTTTCGAGGACGGGGTGGTACCCCAGTGACCCAGTACATGACCCAATGGTAGCTCGAACAGGAGTCTGCGTCGTAGAAAACCAGCTTTTCGTTCCAATTCATCGCTTTTGTCACTACCTTGGCCCGCTCGTAACCTTTGAACAGGAATTTAGTGAAAACAGCCATTCTATACTCTGCTGTACGAAGGACAAAAGCCGTATGAGCCTTAAGGCGTTGCCAAATTTCCTTGGATAAAATATGGATTTTTAGGGAATTTTGCGAACGGTTTACTTTGAATTTTGCACAGAATTTTGTTCGCGACCAGATCTAAATCATGTGGAAACTTCGAGGGAAAATATTCTTAACTCTTTTCAAAAATAAGAATTTTATCAGAGGAAATTGGGCAACTCTCGAATGCTCATACGGCGTTTTTCCTTAGCACGGCAGTACAGGCAAATACAATATCGATGGCCAAAGTGCGAAACCACGTATCCTGTATGTACTTCCTGTCATATTTCGATTTTTCTTTGGGAGTTTTTGACCAAAAAAAAATTAAATTTTTGTAATATAAAAATATTAATCTAAACTTTTCCAGAATAAAGAGTTAACCGAGAGAAAAAACAAAAGGCCTGAATAAAACAAACAAAAAATTCAAAAGAAACTCGTCTTAATTGGCTTGGGAGTACATAGGTAGAGTTGTCAATAACGTGATTTCTCGCTAACTTCACTGATTTTTTCGTCCCTCCTGGCAGAATAGTTTACATAAGTTTCAAGCTAGAAAGTTAGCTTGTTTATCGAAAATAAAATATAATAGAGGCCGATATTTTGAAACACTGAAACGGAGATACGTGATTTTGCACTTCGGTTATCGGTTGACTCCCTGTCAACTAAATCCCGCGGTCCTGACTTCTTACGACTTAAAACAATCAAGGAAAAAGCGTGTACGGTGCCGATTCTCAGTTTGCGCTCAACCAGAGGACTCCCCGCTTATTTGAAAAGTGGCGCGTGAATTTGTATATTTTGCCGAGCGCGCCACCGGAATTGGCGGGAACCAATGGGATTAGAGTATACATTTGTTTACATTTTGCGTTCTTTTCATAACGAAGTTGTAAACAAAACAAACGTGGTTCTACATCTTCTCGTGGGTGTTATGAGTGATAATCCCTTTGAATATCTAAAGTTTCACAAGGTTTTTGATTTTTTAAAGGTATAAGAGGTAGTTGTTACGTGTTTACTTTAACCACATTTCTCCGAAGAATATTCAAATCAGTGTTCTGTCTTTCAATCTCTGAAACCTCAAGATGTGCTCTCAAAGTATCTGTAAGTTCTCACTATTATTTTCCTTAGCACCGTACTGTTCGATATTATTGAGGATTTCAAATTTCAGGATGCTTAAAACCTACCAGTTTGGTTCGTCAATCAATGCATTGCTTCGTAATCAGGGATTCACTTGTTAAGTTGTGGTCTACCTAGGTACTGGATGTCAGGATTGTCAGGGACTCACCAGTTTCATTATACTTTGAGTCATCTAAAGTAAAGGGGGTTTTCACAGCTGAGAGATAAAATATTCTTTGCCTAGAAATAAGACTAATGGTCCCTGTCAAAATATGAGTCTAATCTATGAAGTAGTGTCTATCAGGGGCTGACCTAAGTTAGATTTTCCCATGATGATCATGCTTTAAAAATGGTTGATTTCATGCTGCAGGTGTCGCAGATTCATACATATCCCCCAAACAGGGATAATAGGATGGAATAAATATTCCTTGAATTCTTGTAGCCTAGGCTCTAATCGCGCATATTTGATACACCAAATAAACGCTCTATCCATGCAATACTTATTTACAATGTTAATCAGTAAAAAACATAGATATAACCTCAATAATCACTCATATAATGAGCAGTGAAATGCATGTATTTACGAAGGAAAGGTTTTATTTGACTGACTGCAACTGTTTACCAATATATCAAGACCTAAAACATGATACAAATTTGAAATATTCTGGAATTTCATCCCTTGTTGTTCGAGTGAGTATTGAGGTTATCTCAATGTTACAAACCAACTATCAAACCACTATCAAATGAGGCCCATTGTTAGAAAACAGGAGAGTTGATCTGACCACAGAGAGGCAGAAAAAACTAAATTGCATTAAGGCTGCCATGAACATAGTTAAATATCCTCTTCCCCCTGCGCTCAGTTTACTGCACTGTGCAGCAAAAATTTAATCTTCACTGGCTAAACCTACCAGTGTACGTAGACATACAGAACTATTATGAAATCTAGAATTGAAATGAGTTTTAGAATGCTTTGAATTAAGCATCAAAATGTTATGACGGAAGGGGGGGGGGCGACTTGCACACAAAAGTTGACACTGATGTTAAAAAAAAACAGAAAATAAGTCGTCAAGCATATATTATGAGGGTATACGTCAAAAAGAATATAATCAGGGTAGGTATTTGAGAGACTAACCTGCATCTCGAAGATTTCTACATTTGTTGGCATTGATTCTCTTGTGCCTCTCTCCGATTCCAACTTTTCTTTCTGCCCCAATCAACCCAATATTTGTACTTGGAAATTCTTTTGTCGGATGCACATAGAAAAGTTCGTATCTGGAGTTTATGAGAGAAAAATTCAATGTATGTGTTTATGATCATGAATGTATGGACGTATGAGATAGGTATGTACTTTTACAATATTTTGATTGATGAGAGTTCAATCTCAGCGGATTAAGTCCGTGAATTGGATATACTTCTGACAAACGAAACTATATGCATGAAGACATGAGCCCTGAGACCCATCAGAGTATATGCATAACAAGGCTCACGTTATAATGCACATATAGTTCCGTGTAGCAGACAAATGTCCAATTCAGTATTGGATGGCAAGTCAAGCAAGCGACTTGAAACTGTTATTTACTGCAATTTCCTCCGTACGGAAATGTTATTGTGCCTTATTACAAATTATATGGTGTTTTCATGTACTGCCGTTTCGCTTATATACGCGGCTTTAAAAAAGTTTACTACGGAAATGATCACCATCATTATTATTCAAACATGTTTTGTGATTGTCTGCCCACTTTAAGGTAAAAAGATGAAGAAAAACCAGGGCGTTTTGCCATCCATTACAGGTGGATTTTCAACCCCTCAAACGAAAATGAAAGAAAAGAACTGAACAGAAAAACGCGGAATGTCCCGGTTTTTTGTTGTTATTTTATTGCGACCGCAGTTCTAATTTCAGTTGTTTTCTGTAGGTATCATCGTTTCGGGTCTGTTAAGTCATCATCAGTGATTAAAGATACATACATTTGGGGGGTAAGGCGCATACATGCAGTGTTTGCTGCTTTGAGAAATAAAATACGTGTTTGAAGTTTCAAAATTTCATGGATCTTTACGGCGGGAAGGAAGTTCAAACTGACTTTTTGATGCCTAAAAATTGGAATTTTGGAGCGAATTTTTCACAGAATATCGACGGTGACACTACCAGACCACGTATCTCGGTTTGCGATATTGCAGACTTCCTGTCATACTTAATTTTTTAAATGAAAGACCACCCAAAGTCAGATCTTGGAAACTGTTGTGATTTTTCTTCTCCGCGTGTAGAAAATTCCGTGAAAATTTCAAGGAATGATATTGATTTTGTTCTCCTTCAAAAAAAAATAAAATGGGAGCGGAAATTTGTAAACACCGCAAACAAGATACGTGGTCTGGTTCTAGTAATTTCATCGTCGATATGCACTAAGACTACATTTACTTGAAATCATTAACACTCATTTTTTTTCAAAAACTGCACTTATGCGCCTTGTCCTCCAAGCCCCTCAATATATCGATTGGTACCTGAAAAGCCAACTATCATCCTGTTAATCTATCGTCTATTAAAACTGTACGATCTTTTAAAATTCTTGATTATCATCCAGGGAAAGTAAATATCATACCCGTTGATAGCCATGAACCAGTAAGTCCTTGTAGTTTCTAGGTACTTCTTGTCCTGACAAACGATCACATCCCCTCCGCTGACAGGAATCTTCTCAATGTCATCCCAATCGAACGGGGGCAACGGATAAGGGTGGCCGTCATTAACGTAAGGCTCAATCTCGGGGAAACTTTTTGATCTGGAGAAGGATAGTTTCCTCACGTTTGACAACAAAGTCTGCAGTTGATGGTTTGGTGACTTCCTGAACGCCCGGAAAGCGCCTCGCAGTCTTGATGTCGATCGTGACGCCTCCGTACTGGCTGACAGTATTTCCAATACGAAAACCGCTATGACCAGGCTGCAACATCAGATTCATCCATATCTCAAAATGGATGTAGAATAGATCGGGTGCGCTGTACTGTTAAGAAGCTCGGAGTGAATTTAGTTTATACGGCGCTTAAAGAGCCCAAATTATATGTATGGATGCGAAGCCAAAATTGAGGGGCTAAGAGAACAGGACGCGTAAGTGCAGTTTTTGTTATTTCGAGAAATACGTGTTGAAATTACATGGATCCTTTCATGGCGGAAAGAAAGTTCAAACTGACTTTTTGATGCTTAAAAATTGGAATTCGGAAGCGAATTTTTCACAAAATATGCATTAAGATCAGTTTCCCTTGAAATCATTTTCCTAAAACTGCACTTATGTACCTTGTCCTCCAAGCCCTTCAATTAACCTTTTTACGGAGTGATGTACACTTTTACGGAGTAGAACCAACTCTGTTTGCGAAGTGTCGTAAGGATATGAAGGATAGAAAAGACTCTTATTTTTGGCCTCATGGTTTTTTCTTGGGGAGCGAATAACGTGCGTTTATTCACAAATTCATCAAAATTTTTTGGCTGATTCCAATTTTTTCCGTTTTCTGGAATTTTATGTTTTTCAGAGTTCTGCACTTTTTAAAACGAGCTTCTCACTTTTTAGTGACATCAGTGAAATTGGCATGAATGGATTACCTGTTGCTATGCCTATTGAGTTCAGCCATGTGACCGACGTAAAAAACTTATTCCCATTCTCTTTGCACTCACACCTGAGAGGAACTGTAATACAGCGATTTTTTCTCTCTTTTCCTCTGTATTTTATAAAATTAAATGGATTTACAGTGAAAACTATATGACCTTCAACAAAAACTCAGCCGTACCCAGAGAGGTACTTTTTGCAAAGAGGTAAACAGACTGCTGCACATGTGTTAAAATCATGATTTTTTTTTTATTTCTTTTGCAGGAGAAAAAAATATGTGAATCCAAAATAATGAGTTTTTTTTTTTTTTTTTTTTTTTAATCGCACCAGGTGGTTGGCCCATTGTTTTATTCGTCAGCTCGGCTTCAGAATCGTTTCGTGCACTAAAAGTTGATTTTCACATTCCTTAGGCCTGTCTCCATGCACGGGGCATTTCATGGGATCTGTCCCAGGGAACAATCTCACTTGCGAAGTTGGGAAAAATATTTAGTTAGTCGATACTAATCACAGTACCAACTAAGAGTCCTTGTGGAGTCCTAGGAACGACTTATAAAGAAGAAGAAGGAATTTTGTTGCGTTGTTTAACGGGGTAAAAGCCCAGAAGTTTCATTCCAGCGACCTGAACTTGGGAAAAATCCCGTGAAACGTCCCGTAGCGACATGGCCCAAAGATAAAAGGAAAATTGCTGTTTTGAAAATAACATATGGATGAAATATTCTATCGGCAAAGTCCCCTTTTTCCCGCACGGTAAAATGATGTGATCGCACGTGTGAAAAATATAAAATAAAATATTTCCTTGCCGTTCTATCCATTCGGGTTTGTCAAATTTACGCGCGAGGAAGTAAAATTTGAACCAAAATCAAAATGAATGCCTCCGACCCTTAAAGGAAAAATGCCCAGCTTCAAACGAAATTTTTAGGTAACAAACACTGGGAAAAGAGTTTGATCGCATGAGCCAAATGTTCGATGTTCCACATCGATCAAAAATTTATTTTGTAAAACGGAAATTTCGATTCGACAGAACCGATATTTATTTCATCTCGATAAACTGACTGGTTCAATCGATATGGAACACTTTGGACGTCACGATAGGTGCGATCGAATTTTTTTTTCTCCAGTGCAGAGGCGTAGCCAAAATAGGAGTGGAAAGGTTGAGCTCCCCCAACCCTCCGCCCGGATTTTTTACAGAAAAAGTGATTTTCCCCATGTTTGCGCATTTTGCACCATCGAACGTTATTCTACAGGAAATTTTTGACATAAGAAAGGCCCCCTCGCTGAGTGCGCTATCGAGAGACCGAAGTATTTTTAACGAACTACATCAAGTAAAGAATCCATCCATGAGCTCAGTCGTTGAACTTTGTAACCTGCCACTCTGATATTCATCCCAGCGGTGCTGTACAATCCGCATGTAGAATTCGTTCGTTACAAATGCACCAATCTGGGGAAAAAATTTGAATGGAGATTCGTCAGGCTCTCTTTAAATTATCAACACAGCTCCCGGCAACATTGTCAATTTACGTGCAAATTCGATTTTTGCCTTCAGGTAACTCTATGAAACCTTAAAAAAAATTGCAACCGTGACATATCTCAAACGATTTCATGTGACGTGTCTCACAGAAGATGAGCCTTTAAAATCCTAGTTTCCAGGAAGGGCGGGAGAATTCTAGGCCTTCGACGAGACGTAGCGCGAAGTCGAGAGATGGCGCGTGTCTGAAATGCCCTGCGAAGCTAGCCTGTCAGTTCCAGGCGGACTAATTAGTTATCAGTTATCTCGTATGCGGGGCATGCCAGAACATTTCATACAAACTCGATCAATAAGAATATTGCTCAAATGTCAGCTATCTGGAGGAAAAATTCTTCATCATTCTTCACTGGTGCATTGGTATAACATAGTAATATTTTGATCGCATTTAACAGAAGCGGACCAGCTCGATTTCAGTGTTTCCAAAATTGGACCGCGGTCAAGCAGAAAGGAACCAAGCCACATCACCTATCGCCAAATTTGAGTGGGCACTTTAATTTTTTCCATTTAAATGGTTGTGTGGATTTTTTGTGTGCGCAAATTTCAGTGAATTGTCTGCGTAGTGCGAAGCGAATTCCTTAAACTTTTCTAAGGGATCCGTACAAACATTCTCCTGTAAAAAATTAAATTGCCCAGTTAAATTGAGCAATAGCTGATAAGGCTTGGTTCCTCTCTGCTTAACGCGATCTAATTGTGCATCCTCATTTGTGCCTAAAAATAACCTAGAGCATAGCATGGTTTTTGTTCTCCTATCCAAAATGGTTAATTTTAAAGGAGAACGATCCTGTAAAATCGTATTAATGGATACACTTTAAAGTAAAGAAGAGTAAAGTACAGTAAAGTTCCTTGTTTTTGAAACACTGTAATCAAACTGCCATATTTTAAATGCGACCTTTCTCTGAGGAATTGTCGCAGAAAACTGTTGCTATGCACGCGATTCCTTAAAAAAACCTTTCAGGTTTCAACTCTCGACGGTAAGTTAAAAAATTTAGCCGTTCCAACTTTCTAGATGATGATGGCAGAAAAAATGAAGACGGCAAGTTCAGAGCTTTTTTTCTCTTCCATTCAGTGAGCTATCCAATGATTTGCATCGATCATCCTCCTCTGGGAAAATGCCGCAGAAAATTGTCGCTGCGCACGTGATTGGAAATTTTGCGGGACTTGACGCCACAACTGAATTGACTTCTTTTTGCATAGGAGCGTAAGGACAATGTCATACGTTTTAAAATTGCCATGGATACTTCATTTTTTCTTGCGGATGAGGTACTGAAAGAATATCCTTCAAAATTTAATGAAATTGATGTTGAACAGCATTTTATTTTATCAGGTTGTTGAATTTTGAGAATGTGAAACGTTCGAAATGATCATCGTCTAACAGAATTTCATTCAAGACAACATCAGGACCGAAAAAAAAAAAGTGAATTACATTCTTTAAAAAAAGAAAAAGAAATTGATGCGTTTGTTGGAAGAGGAAGAATCCCCTTTTTCGTTCGACTAAGTTTGCAGAGTTTTCAATTCTAATGGAAAGATCTTTTCAATCTTCATGGGAGAAAGTCATATTTCAAGAGGTGTCACATGTCATATTTTTTGTTGAAGAGTTATGCCCAAAAAAAAAAGTTGTTACATTGAGTTTTCCATACTTTGAATCATTGATTTTGTAGAGATATTGACGTCATACCGCGCGCCTCAACGTCACGTTGCAAACTACAATCTCTCCCTCCACCCCCCTTAATGTCATTTTGGCCGTATTGCAAGTTCTTTTTGTTATTATACTTCATATTTTGTTTAGTTTTTTCAAGAGAACCATGCGATGAATTTAACATGACGCTCACTCATAATATTCCATGCAAAATCAATTTCAATGTATATCATATTATAAATTAAACGTTCATCCGCTTCCAATGTGCTCATGAAATAAGACTCTTCACTCCTCTGACGTGTTCCAAAATCTAGAGGACTCTGTATGATGGTATCCTCTCGCGAGAGACCCTACTAAAATTATTCAAATTCGATAGGTATTTTTACAAGATTTATCTCCCTAATAGGAATAACTAAATATCAAGTCATTTAACTGTCCATATACATATGTGCGAAATGTATTTCCAATGCGAAAATATCAATAGAAGAGAGTAAAGGATGCATACAGTATAACAGTTATGTAACAGTGTTCCAGCTTCTGTTGTCGAGGTACAACTTTCGCAATTTTCTCGTGAGCTCATGACCGGGAAAATTGACAGAAAGCACTCAAAGTGCAAAAAATTGATTCGTGCCCTACTCATTAAAAAATTCTATTTTCCATAACGCTGAAAAATGAAAGTGTGAATAAAAAGTACTCGTGCGACATTTTTGTGCTGAGTTTTGCATATTTTGTATGCGATGTACGTCAGTGTACTATTTGGGAGTGGTTAGCTTTTCAAAATATTCCAAAGTGGGAGGGAGGGGCCCTGAACACTCCGTTAATATACCATCTTGTGTGATTGTGGACATATTGGTACCAATACTGCTTTTGAAGAAAACCACCGTATGAGCCCTGAAACGTTTCCTCTCCTCTGAAAAAACCTGAATTTTATGCAAAACTTGTGAATATTTTGCCCCAAAGTCAGAAAACTTGATTTACAATTTAATCATAACTACCTTGACTTTCCAGGAAAAAAACTCTCGACTCTCCTCAACCAAAAAAAAAAAAATTATTTCGGGATTTGGCAACATTTGAAAGTTCAGCTAGACGACAATATTTTTCCTTAGCACGTCAGAATAAGCTTGACAATATAGAACCACTCATTATAAACCGAAAAAAACAGCAGAAAAAAAATTCCGCTCGACACTCTCGAACAAAATTTCCAGGGAATGTACAGTACAGGGTGTTTCAGACCACCCGTACCAGGCCTTTTTCTCGGTTGATTTAGGTCGTACGAAGTCGGAGACCGCGGGGTTGAATAGGGAATTGACCCCAAGGAATCCGAATTTCGTGGTCCCGAAACCCCCCCACCCCCCCTTGGGGGGTAAAGGGGGGGTCACGATGCTGAAAGTCACGGTTCCCGGCCGAATTGCGAATAGATCGCATCAGAATTGAAAAGCACGGAAAATTTTACGTGAAATTGACCCCTAAAAATCCAAAATCGGACCATCCAAAGCCCAAAAATGACCCCCTAAAGAGGGGGACAGTACCCCCCTTCATAATGTCTCTTTGGTCTCAAAATTGACGTAGATTCTCCAGAAAAAGACAGTTTCACAGGTAATCGACCTCGAGAAATCCAAATTTCATGGTCCCGAAGCTCCTCTAGCTTCCCTTGGGGGGTAAACGGGGGGGCCCAATTTTAAAAATCGGGGCTCCTTTCCGAATCGCAAATTGATTGCATCCAAATTGAGGAGCAGAACACATTTACATCTTAAGTGACTCCTAAGAGTTCTAATAGACCCCCTGAACGGCAGAAAGTAACTCCCTGAGGAGGGGGGGCTTCGCCCCCGCAAAAAATTTCTCAAGATTCCTCTTTGGTCGCAAAATTGACGTCGATTCTCCAGAAAAAGACGGTTTCCCATGTAATCGACCCCGAGGAGCTCAGAGAACATGAAATTTAGAGTCCTCGGGGTCGATTACATGGGAAACCGTCTTTTTCTGGAGAATCGACGTCAATTTTGCGACCAAAGAGGAATCTTGAGAAATTTTTTGCGGGGGCGAAGCCCCCCCTCCTCAGGGAGTTACTTTCTGCCGTTCAGGGGGTCTATTAGAACTCTTAGGAGTCACTTAAGATGTAAATGTGTTCTGCTCCTCAATTTGGATGCAATCAATTTGCGATTCGGAAAGGAGCCCCGATTTTTAAAATTGGGCCCCCCCGTTTACCCCCCAAGGGAAGCTAGAGGAGCTTCGGGACCATGAAATTTGGATTTCTCGAGGTCGATTACCTGTGAAACTGTCTTTTTCTGGAGAATCTACGTCAATTTTGAGACCAAAGAGAAATTATGAAGGGGGGTACTGTCCCCCTCTTTAGGGGGTCATTTTTGGGCTTTGGATGGTCCGAATTTGGATTTTTAGGGGTCAATTCCACGTGAAATTTTCCGTGCTTTTCAATTCTGATGCGATCTATCCGCAATTCGGTCGGGAACCGTAACTTTTAGCATCGTGACCCCCCCTTTACCCCCCAAGGGGGGGTGGGGGGGTTTCGGGACCACGAAATTCGGATTCCTTGGGGTCAATTCCCTATTCAACCCCGCGGTCTCCAACTTCGTACGACCTAAATCAACCGAGAAAAAGGCCTGGTACGGGTGGTCTGAAACACCCTGTATGTGCTAAACTCAAACACGAATATTTTCAGAATTGATATGCAGGATCAAAATAAGTCTTTGTTCCACAATGTTTTCCCAAAAAATCCGCCCCTTCAGAGTGTCAGCCCCTCTCTCAAAACCTCTCTATGATATGGTTTAGGTTTCTTCAAGGTCTAATATGTATTTGACGTTTGAAACATCATGGAATTACAATACATAAATGTTTTCTCAACCAAGAAAAAACTGTTTTTTGGGTTGAGCTTTATGGGGCTGTAAGTTAAAAGGGGGGATTTTTAAGGCAAACGCAATAGAGCAAAAAAACTCGTTTTAATCCAAAGAATCGATTCTGAAAACATTCACGTTTATCTCCAGGACATCTTGTATAAATCAAACAAAATTCTGTGCCAAAACGATGATCTTATGATTCTTAAAGGAAGTTAAAATGTGAGAGGAGATTCGAAACGTCGCAAACAGACTTTGGAAGTTCAGTATTAGTTTCGCTCGCGGTAGGTGTCAGCGACCGAGTAAAAATACTAAATTCTCGACTTAAAAGTCTCCTCTAGATTTAAGCCCTGAAGTCTCTTCAATGTGTTTATAGGCGAATGTCGATTTCATGAGGGATAATATACAAATACATGCAAAACAAAAAAAGCCTAAAACTTGCCCGTTTACTTCGGTCGGATAGCCAGTGTGGGATCCCTGGTATATTTGATCCGTGGGTACATCCTCAGTTTGGCAACTTTCTTCGAGCGAGATTGCACAGCACACGAAACGAGAGCCTTTCAGCTGTAAAACTTGCTTATTTACGGGAATACCACTCCGAACTGCCCTTGATTTTGAAGCGAGTACACCAAATATTACACAAGCGGCAAGATCTGCGCAGAATGTAGCCTCATGTTCTCTCCTCTCTCTGAGCAACTGAAAGTCCACCGCGTGATCTGTATACCTTCGGTCGGGCACCAACTCGCGTGAAACAAACCGCTTGATGAAGTGAAAATCTGAGGCCCTCTCTTTGAAACCGATGAAGTTTTAACGCTATCTCTCTCGGAATGAGAGTGAGAGAGATCAAGAGAAAAAAATTGAACTTTTCGAACTCTACCTTCTTTTTCTTTTTCGGAGTAAACTGTGAATTTTTCAGATATGTGCACGTCTGCGAAACGGACAGAGTGACGGGGTTAAACTTTGATGCCCTTTCTTTTAAAACGCCATTGTTTTTAATCATACCTTTCGTGGAATCGAAATGAAAGAGATCAATAGGGAAAAGTGCTCTTTTTGAACTCTGCCTTTTTTTTTGGAGTTAATGGTAAATTTTCAAACGTAGGCACGTCTGCGAAACTGACAGTGTGACGGGGTTACAATTCGATGCTCTCTCTTTTTAAAACGCCTTTACTTTATCACACTTTTCTCGGAATCGAAATGAGATATATCAAGAGGAAAAAGCGCACTTTTCGAACTCTGACTTTTCCTTTTGCGTACTTGATAGACCTTCGATTGGGCACCCTTTTGCGAAAAAGACGGCTTGACAAGATGAAAATTTGCCCTCCCCCTTCTCGTGATGTTCTAATGATCATGCGAGGCACGGAAATATCTTCGACGATGATCGCAAAAGTGTTGCCGGAATGTGATTACAATTTCTTCTCATAAAACTTCGCTAATTCTGACCCGTAAATTTCAGGTAAAGAAACAAGAGCTTACTAAAATGCAGTCCGGTTACACTGCAAAGATGATCATTGAAAATCTTTTCGTACTTTTGATTTTGGGTCGTCGACTTTTAGGGGGAGTTTTTTAGGATTGGGCCGGAGTGGCTACCGCCACCTAGAATAATCATTTCAAGATTATGTTGCTATTTTATATTCAGGGCTACTTTTTGCTCCGGCACGGATTCATTTCCAAAACTTTTTGTTGAATGTTCCCTGGTAAAAATTGGCAGTAGAATCTGTGTTCCAAAATACCATAGACCTACAGCCGGCTGTAAGATTTCCAATAGCTTCTACAGCCGGCTACACAATTTCTTATAGCCTTTTATAGCCGATGGCGATTAAGCAACAGCCAGGCGATGAAGTGTAGGTATGCTAAACGTTACTAATTACGGATGCTAGGACTTAGCGAAGTTTTTGGAATACTGCTCTCTTTTTGGGCCGTAGTATCTTGATTTATTTTGCGAGGAAAGCTCCGTACTTTTGATGGATGCCGGCCATTACTAATATATTAGAGCGCCTTCAGTTTCGTATGATACTGTGCAATACCTCTGGTGTGAAATAGTTGCTTCAAGCGCCGTGGCAGGCGGGCAGCCAGCTCGAAACACGCATTGGCGCCTACAAACCTAACAGGGATACTTCACGCGTTGCGCAACGCGTGAAGTATCCCTGTTAGGTTTGAAGGCGCCAGTGCGTCGCCGCTCCGCTTTGTGTTAGGCTCTAATATTTAATCTGGCGGAGTCAGCGTTATTATTCAACTCATGATTTTGAAATGTTTGCACATCCTGTATGGATTATTCTCATTTTAATTGATAAAAAAAATATGTATTAAAGGAAAATATAATGTGTGTTTTGTAAATATTAAGGTGGTTCCGTATCAAACTTAATGATTTCCAACGCACACGAATTTCTACACAATTTCTTTTAGCCTTTTATAATCGATGGCGAAAAAGCAACAGCCAGGCGATAAAGTGTAAAGCCCTGCGATAGGAACTATAGCCCGGCTGCATAATTTTTTATCGCTTCGTATAGCCCGGCCGTATGATTTTCTTTGCATTCTACAGCCAGCTATATGATTTTCTGTAGCCCTCTTTAGCTGGCTATAATAATTCCCATGGTATTTTGAAACGCAGCTCTTATCGCCAATTTTTACCAGGGTTACCGGAGGTTTGTAAAACTTGTCCATTTTCTGATGCTGTATTAAATGCCTTTTCATTCGTCTCTTAGTCGATTCGTATTGAGCCCCCAAGCTCCCTAAGGAAAGGACACGGAAGTTTTGGGGGTTGTCCCCTAAAATTGTGGTACTACCCCAATTTTTGGATGATATTGATACTTCCAATAATTAATTGTGGTGGTAGCGCAACTCAAATCGGGGTAACATTTGGTATAGTAACCTAATTTATCAGGGAACTACTAGGGTGCCACCACACTTAATTGGAAATGCACATAGCATACAATAACCCCTAATTTTTTTCCCACGGAGCTGAATATAAATACGAACCTATGTTTGTATTTTTATTTTGATTGACAACTAAATTTAGGTCAAGAGCGGTCTCTCCTTGCATAGATATGCCTGGCGTCAGGTGCAAACGCGCATTCCTTCCAAAATAATCCGACCTCGAATGTTTGCAGTAAAGTCACCGGCATTTTGCGGTTTTTACGAGGCACCTGATTTTCAAATTACCTGACGCCGTAATTGTTGATGAAATTCATATCAAATCAAACAATTATTCTGGGGCGGGCTCGGGCGACCTATACTAGACGCGCGCCTCTCTTAACCGGTTAACAGGGTTGCCAAAGTCAGTCAAATATTAGTCTGTACGTCATTATTTTCCAAGAAAAAACCATACTTTTTATATCTGTCTGGTAGTTAGGTGGCTAGTTTTGTAATTAATTTACTGCACCTCGTGTCTGGCGTGTTGCGGAGGGTTACGGAAAAAGTATGGCGTCATTACGTTTTTTATCTTTTATGATAATGGATAAACGTCATCAGCAAGTAATGTTGTGTGGTACAGGTGCAGCTATAGTTCTACTCCTAGGTAACTAATAAAAAACATTTAATGAGTCTACGGTTATATTCAATAGTCAAAACTCAAGTAGGTAACAAGAGAAGAATTTTGAGCGAATTTTTTTTTTACAAAGCGGCATTTTTCTACAAAGTACGTCGAGAGAGAATTTTTCGATACCGTTTGTGACCAAAGATTTTGGACGGAACGTTACGTTGACGTTAGAAATCTTTGAAATTCCCACTGCGTAATACTTGACAGAGAGCTTCAAACGCAGGTGAGCAGTCTTGTCTTTGAAAATTGCTAGCACCCAAGATGACGAGCAGAGCATTAAGACTCAGCATCTCCGAATCTGAGGATCTAAACTGCCTCATTGTTTAAAACAGTCCAGGGGGAAAAACTGCATGCACTAAGAAACCAGCTCCAGAAAAAAAGAGAAAAAATGCTACTCAATTAATCGCCAATAACGTGAGATGCAGCAAGTGCCGGCACCCTGCACTTCTTCTCCGAGATTAACTACCAGTACATTCCAGCCAATAACAACCAATTTAGTCAGATTAGAAACCTTATATGTCTTTTACTGTTTTGAATCGAGTGTAGTAGGCTTACTATGGACTGTAGGGCTCATCGAAATTTTAACGTGTTTGGTTTTCTGCGTTGACCCATTCAAGTGGCCTTGTCATTTAAGCGATAAGCATGGACGTTAATCTGGTCAGTGGAAACCGTTACGGAGACACTGTTGATCCGCTGAGTCAAATTTTTTGCACCTACAAATTGCAGTAGTTTTCCGAACAACTTCGACTTGACATTTAGCGCTGTCACATAACCCTTGATCTTTCATTTGTGGTCGCTTTTTAACTGGATTGTTTTTAATTTGAATGCACTTTTTCTTTCTTTTTGTGGCCCACAATGCTAATGTAGGAACCTTCATGCAGTATAGCGAATACATTCTTCGTCAGCAATACTGCAGACAATCATGTATGACAGAGATGTATTGAAATTAAATCCTTTTACATTGATAATGCTTTTTATAAAACATGTTTTGCTTTGCGCAGAGCCCCTGAATGATAAATACGTCGAAATCTCTGATACGGGCAAAGTTGTTTTTAGGATTAACTCCATTAGTCTATTTATCTATTTATCTATCCATATCGATCCATCTACCTATTCATCCATCTATCTATCTATCTATCTATCTATCTATCTATCTATCTATCTATCTATCTATCTATCTATCTATCTATCTATCTATCTATCTATCTATATATCTATCTATCTACCTACCTACCTATCTATCTATCTACCTGTCTATGCCACTAGCTACAACCAGAAACTTCAAGAAATGTTTTAAAATTTCCAAAATTTAAAGGTCCGAATTTCTAATTGTGGGAGTTGATGAGAAAAAATGATGAAAATAATTTGAGGCTACGTCCCATAACCGCCTCGCGGTCTAACCCCCCGAAACCCTTCGCGCCTCAGGCGTTATGCTTTACTCTCATGATGTCCTTTTATGAAGAATGATTTTAGTTTTATATTTTTTCGACACATTTTTAGATTGTGCTTGAAGGGGGAGACTGTCCCAACCTTCTTACCCTTCAACGGCTATGCTTTAAATCCTACATCAGGACTAAATTCATTGAATTTTACACGTAAATACATTGTAAAACTGTATGTAAGATATGATAAGGAAAGAAAAAAAATTAAATAAAAAGTCAAACAAGTTGGTTTTTGCAATCGCTAGCGATAGCAATATTCGTCATGGGAACTTTTGCTTCTGGGATATGAAAATTTTAAGGTACAGTTCGTTAGTAGTATCTTCAGAATTGAAGGGGCTATGTAATTTTGTGTCGACATCTCTTTTTTAACATTTTTAATTTTTTTTCTTTGCATACAAGAAAGCTGTTATTTACCAATTATTTATTTTCGTTGGATTATGTATGGTTTTTGGAAGTTAACGCATTTAACTTTCAGTTTCGTTTTTTCGGCGTAAAGTATGATATTTTTACTCTACGCATATGCCCGAATACGCATCATAACGACGGTGAAACTACCAAACCACGTATCTCGTTTGCGGTGTTTAAAAATCTCCGCTCACATTTTATTTTTTTGAAGTAGACCAAATCAATATCATTCCTTGAAATTTTCACAGAATTTTCTCCGCACGAAG